CCCTGACCTGAGGTGGTAGCACCTGCTAGGGTCCCAGCTATAGGCAAATAGATAACCCTGAAACTTAGGTAAAAACACTATGAAAGTGTAAAAATAGGTTTTAATACCAGAAATACTTTGTAAAAAAATTAACAGCAATAAATTTTTGTAGAAAAAAAAAAAATTGTATTAGCAATACATTTTTGAAAAAAAAAGAGAAAATATTATTACCAGCGATACATTTTAGAAGGAAAAATATTAGCAGTAATAGATTTTTGATAAAACAAAATATTACCAGCAATAAAAATTTTGTCGGCATTACATAACACATTGAGGTTGATATACCGTAAAACAAACCAAACCAAACCAAAACAAAATAATTTGTCTCGAGCACTTTTTTAAAAAGTAAATACTACTAACAGTGGAATTATACTTCATCTGTTCTTATTCTCATATATATATATATATATATATATATATATATATATATATATATATATATATATATATATATATATAAATAAAATAAAAGAAAGAACAGTGTTCTTAATTTTTATTTATACAAAAAATGAGAGAATTATAAATTAATTGATTTTAAAAATTTTTTCCACTCAAGTTTTGATATTTTTGAAACTTTTTAAAATATTTGCTCAATACAAATATATATAATGCAATATATTTGGCGACAGTTTGTTTTATTTACATGTTTTATTCTGGACTAGATAAAGTTCCAATATTTTTCATCCCTGTCAAACCTATAATTAAACTTTATCAATTGATAAAACTATAAATTTCGTAAGGAATCACATGGCTTGTTATCACAAATGCTCATTTCATGATAGCCTTCTTCGTAGTAAGGGACGTGTAGTTGGACTGAATGCATTAATGTCGAACATGATCCACTTGTCTTTCAAGATAATTCCAATATGAACCTTAAAATAAATAGACAAAACTTTTAATATAGAAAGACTAAAGACCAATATATTATTATAATATTTATTATAATAGATTATAATAAAAAAAAATTTTGAAACTTTTTAAAAAATGCACAAAGTAAAGCAATATTTTACACTATTTCATTATTCGGACTAGTGGCCATATTTTCAAAACATTTACGTTGTATGCTCCAGCTTTCTTCAGGTGGTTGGAATGTCGAACTGATCCACTTGTAGTTCCATGATGTTTAATTAGACAGACAGACCAATATATTATTATAAATTTATTATAACAGATTATAATAAAAAAGAAAATTTTGAAATCACTGCACAAATGTTTCAATACTAGTTAAAGATGGAGAGTAAATGATTAAAGGGAAATTTAAAAACAAAACAGAATTAAAGGAGAAAACGTAGATTAAAAATGTGGGTATGTCTTCATTTTTAAAATCATTTTTCCTTAATTTTCAAGCGAATTTTGGAATTCAAAATGAAACAGAACTAATGCTTTTGATTTAATTATATAATTAAATTTGAAGCTTTTAGTTTCTGTTTTTGAAACATGGTAATTCCTGTGTAGCAATGAAACCATATTTTTAAATCAGTTAATTTATAACACACACAAACACACACCCCCACGCACGCACATATATATATATATGTGTGTGTGTGTGTGTGTGTTTTAGGTACACTATTTATGTTGAAAGTGGTCAGTATCAGAGATAGGGCGTATATAAATAGCATGGAGTCACAAGTCAACTGGTCTAAGGGTTTGAAGGTACTACTCTTTTTCCAACTGGTGATCACGACACATGATTTGCACTCTCCCAGAAAACTATAACTAAGGTCAGAAAAGTTGCAGTTTAAAACGATTTAGAGAGTTTAGCTTGTTTTCCTTCTCCTTGACTGGTTGCCATCTCAAGGCAAGTATTCCCGGTCGGCCGTGCTATTTAGCGCATCGTTGAGGGAAAAAACTGATTCGCAAGAGTATTTCTGCAACAGTGACCGCTACGGCCTCTGCCAGAAATCGAACACGGCTCGCCGCTCTTTCTTTCCGTGTGAGCTAATTGATACACTAACGGCACATCCAACACTGTTATCACTTTAAGTAAATCAAATGTGAATTATGATACATCTCAAAAGCGTTATAATTACCATCAGATAAAGAAAGTCTATTATTTTATTAGCTAAATAATGCCTTTTCCATTGGACTTTCTATTTATTTCTGACTAAGCGCGCTTTTGTATACAAATTAGAATAATTATTTCTAATGAAATAAAACCAAGTCATAGAAGTAACCAAGTCTTTGGTCACTTTGTTTCCTATTGCTTTAACCGGCAACCGCTGTGATGAAATATCGGGAGGATTTGATGAGAAAATTAGTTTCTTTGATCTTTAGCTTTGTTTGCACGTAATGCGATCTCACCGGAAAGTTAATACTGTATTTTTCATTTTATAAAATATTTCTTTCTATTATGCGTACAATTGTCAGAGCTACCGTACTTGACGACATACAAAGCAAATTTTTTTGGCTTTGTTTTTGTAAACGTTAGAACACCTAAAATAATGTAATGAAGGAAATCAAGAAGACAAAATGCATGGTTGTTAGTAAAAGGGAACAGCCCAAATTACAAATTGGAGATACCAAAATCAAACTAGTATAACAATTTAACTACCTGGGAAGTGTTTTACCAGAATGCGAAAAGTGTGACACTGAAATCCGAAGTCGCATCGGGATAGCGAAAGATGCTTTCCAAAAGCTAAGATAAGTATTAAGAAACAGGAAAATTTCATTAGAAACAAAGAAAATAGTACTAGACTTTTACGCAATATCAGTCCTCCTATATGGCAGTGAATGTTGGGTAATCTTCTCACAGATGAAGAAGAGACTTGAAGCAACAGAAATATACTTCGACCAAGGACTTAGTTTTATAGACTATGGAAACAAAACGGACACTTCTGCTAAACATCAGGAATAGACAGTTAAAATTTCTAGCGCACATATTTTTTTTTAAGCGTTTCACCCCAAGCAAGGCTGGAAGCCACTAGCACGCAAGCGGTTACAGAGAGTTGGAGCGAGAGCAAATAGGAGTGAATGAGGAAAGGATGAAGAGAAGGAAAGGGGTTAGATCAGAGCATCTGGAGATGTCGATTGACATTACATTTGAATATAGATGGAGATTATATCTATCAGGGAAACAGGGAAAGGGGAGGGAGATCCACAGGTGAGAGGTGCGAGACATGAAACTATTGGAGTAAAAGAGACGACTATATTTAGGAGTTTCGACAGTGAAAGGGTGAGAGTGAAATGCCAGCCTAGTAGAACGCTTAAATTCATGAAGTCTGGGAACCAGCGAAAGCAGCTCATCGGAGCGGTTACCGTGAAAGTATTTGTAAAAAAGACAGAGAAAGACAATTGGAAAACATTTATTTACCAATGTATTTCCCCTCTAAGGGACTTCATCATAATAAAGGATAAAGGTTTTATTTGGCAATATATTTTTATAAACAGAAGTAAATTAAGGTGAAAGAAAAACATCGGTAAGTTTTCAAAATATTAAATTTAAGAATTTAATCGTATTTCTCATTGTTTTACTATTGAGCTCCCAAGAAGCAACCGTATCACTCCTCTTTGCTCTCGCTCCAACTCTCTGTAACCCCTTGCGTGTTATTGGCTTCCCGCCTTTCTTGAGGTGAAACGCTTAAAATATATATATGTGTGTGTGTATGTGTGTGTGTGTGTGCGTATACAAAGAGAGAGAGAGAGTGTGTAAATAGTTACATTACCTCGTCTTAGAAATTTAAATTGATATTAGCAACACCTAAAACCAAAAAATCCTTGAAAAATGGCTAATGAAGTTCAGTAAATATACTAAATTACAAAGTGGTGTAAGACAAGGATGTGTTTCTTCACTGGATTTATTAAACCAATACAGTGAGGCGATTTTGAGAAAAGGTGAAGTCCTACCATGATTCATTAATGGTGTCCACAATCGTAACAGCATAAGATATACAGATGACATAGTGTTAGAAGCAGATACAGAAAAGAAGCTACAAGAACTCCTACAGAAGAAAGTGAAGGAAGGAGAGAAGAAAGGACTAAACATTAATTTGCAAAAAGACAGAATACATGGCTGTGAGCCAAAGGAATAGTCCAACATGCAAATTATAAATTGGATATGCCAAAATCAAGCAAGTACAGAAACTTAAATATCTGTGAAGTATTTTAACAGGGGAGCAACAGGTTAGAAACGAAACTATGAGAAAAGAACAGACAGTTACGTCAAGCTTTGTTCAACAGTAAAACCGTGAGACATTGTTGTCAATCTATTAGTACGCTTAAATTTATGTAATCGACGCACCAAAGGAATTTAAGCGTGCTACTATGTTGCTTCCCCTTGGAAAGTGAAAGAGAATGAGAAGAATTTAGTGAAAAGTGAGGAGAAAGAACAATAAAATAACAGGGTTCAGGATGACAGAAGATGGTGACTGGCGTTGTGTTTTTCAAGATTTTAAGTGGCGCGGGGTAAGAAATCAAAAAGGGATTTCCACAGGCGACAAGTTCGAGAAAAGAAATTGTTAGAATAGAACCTATGGTTGCATGTAGATAGTTCAATATTAAAACGATGAGACCTACTTACCAATCTAGTAGAAAACTTATATTCATGTACGCGGAGGCACCAAGGGGAAAAAAAACTCTTCAGAAAAAATTGTCATGAAAATATTTGTAGAAAAGTTACAGGGAAGCCACGTCACGTCGGTAAGAAAGTGATTGAAATCGCGATGCCAGGTCAAGATCGATTATATTGCAGACTCTTCTTTGTTTTTTGCCGAAATTCTCGAGGTAAATAGCAGGAACACCAGATCAAACCCAGTAGTAATAGTCATTGCACTGACTGATAATAGATTTATAAACATGCAAGATAAATTCTAAGGAAAAAAAGTTGTATGTGCACGACAGATTGAACTAATATTCGGTGTTTATCCCTGACAATGGTCATTTATTACTCTCTCTCTCTCTCTCTCTGCGAATGGAATGCTTTTATATACATAAATAATGCTTTTATATATATATATATATATATATATATATATATATATATATATATATATATATATATATATATATTTGAACTTGTTTAATTTTGGTATGTCCGATTTGTAATTCGCACGTTGGACTCACCCTTTTGCTAACAATCATTCTCTTACTGAAAGACAATGAGAAGACTTGAGTGGGGAGAAAGGGGAATAAAAGAATAGATTTCAGGAAGACAGAAGATGGCGACTGACATTGCATTTAATTCTTTGAATATCGTATCAAGAAAACAAAAGAGGCGAGTAAAGATATCAGTAGAATAGAACTCATGGTTACATCCCGCTGTTTTTCACCGTAAAATGATGAAACATGTTACCAGTCTTGTAGTTCGCTTAAAATTCATGCTTTCAAGAATAAAGGAGGAGGGTTCTTTAGAACAATTTCAATGAAGATATTTATAAAAAAAAGACACAGAGAAGCCACGTCATGGGAAAGTGAAGGAAGTCAAGATGCCAGGACAGGACCGATAACATGGCAGAGGCTTCTTTGTTTTTTGTAGAGATTCTCGAGGTAAATAGCAAGGACACCAGACGAGATCCGACAGAAAAAGTCATTGCACAGAGTGAAGGTAGATTTATAAACATGCAAGATCGTTTCTGAAGAAAAAGGTTGTCTGTGCATGACACATCGAACCAATATTTCTGGCAGCAGACCTAAGAATTTTTTAGATACAATCATTCTACTTCGTGTAAGTGGTAAACATTAGACCAAAAAGACGCGCTGAGTACTCTCCTGAAAATTTGGCTATTTGGAAATCACCAAGGGAAAAAAAACCATCAGAATAATTGCCATGAAAATATTTGACAGAAGGAAGCCACGTCACGTCGGTGAAAAAAATGACTGAAGTCGAGA